TGTGTGTGTGTGTGTGTGAGTGTGTGTGTGTGTGTGTGTGTGTGTGTGTGTGTGTGAGTGTGTTTTATATAAAAGCAGCCGTATAGATAGTTTGGGTATTTCTGAGCTGTATGTCTGCAAACTTCCGATAATTACAGTGAGAGTTTGTCTGTTTTTAGCTTGTAATGTTTTTAGCAGAATGAGCCTCAGTTCTCAAGCAAAGCAAACCTGATTCCAATGATATCAATTCAATACAATACCATTTTAAACCACTTTAGTGGCATGACGGGCATAGCAGTGTATTGCCAAAGCATTTATTATATACCCACATTAGATTTTTACTCTGTTTAGGGTGTAAAGCAAAATAAGTCTCAAGACAAATAATTTGTTGTTAATCATAATATCAGTGTGCATGTTCTCATTCATCACCACTACATTAAATAGATTAAATATAATTCAAATTCTATCTTAATGTGTCTTTTATGACTGATACCATAAAATTCTGTATAATCATGTACAAACAGATTCTGTTCATCAGTATTTCATGATGTTTTTCAATGGGAAAATCATGTGGTGCAACATATTTGATCTTACACTGACCTTCATCATCATCATCATCATAACATGTTGAATGTAACAGTATTCACCCAAAACTCTTGAAGAACAGATGGTTAAATTATGATGAGTTATTATTATTCTTCACAGCTCTAAGCATGTGTTTAGGATTGTGGGTAAAAGTTTAAGAATCTGAATGAATAATCTGAATATTGTGGTCTGATCTCCTCCGTAACTGTGGAGGTTATGAGGTTGGGAAACTGGATTTTCTCTCTCAGTAACTTAGTAATCAGTAGTTGGTTTTATTGGCACCTCCAGGCACAAATGGCACCACTTTGCTCTTGGCTTTGTGACACTCTGGAAATAAGACCAGTGTGTTTGTGCTGCAGTGATTTCTGAACAGACACGCAGCTCAATATGAGTCCTGTATTCATGTGTGGAACACGTTACTCACAGCCTTTATATATAATGCATTATAAATGTGGTTTAATGCAGTAATTATGCCGTGATCAGAAGCCGCTCTCTGTCTGTCATCATCATGACCTCGCTCTGAGGACACATCACTGATTCACTGCGTCTTGTCCACATTATTCTATGAATCTCTGCAGTCGCTCACACAAATAAACTCAAACTCAGTCTCTCTGTGTGTGTTTGCTTTCAGAGATTGAAACTCCCGTTTCCACTCAGTTAACCAAACCCGCTCATTACATTCTACAATCCAGACATTTACAGCCTCTTTATTCTCAATCATTGAGTTTACAGTCTCTCAGTGTGGTGTGTACATACTATATATGTCACAGCCAGACTCAGTGTGTCAAACATAAATCTGTGTTCAACTCGCTTTCCCTGTGCTTCTTCATGTTCTGTCCTTCACTGAGCTCTGTGCTCTCAGCTCATTTATACACACAAAGCATTTGTACTTGGATCAGAAATGAAAATACTAATTAAAACATCTAGATTTCTTAGTATCTAAATCATGCTCTTCATGTCTTCTAAATCAGTCTCTAATTGACAACAGCACACACACACTCTCACACACACACACACACACACACGCACACACACACACGCACACACACACACACACACTCTCACACACACACAGGTCCTACATGATGAACTCAAAAACAGGATCCACTGTATTTTGTGTATGTTTTGTATATAATATTTTTAATGAGGAAGAGGATGGTGTTATAGTTCAGTCTTGTCTTCGGGTGTCTCCTCTTTCTGCTTCTGTTGGAAAGAAAACAGCAGAAGCACACACCAAATCTGTAAAACCATACACTAATTCTCAGCCTTTGACTCAGTTTTCATTTTCATAAAACACTTTTTGCACAACACAACACACAGTTCTCTCTGTAACACACACAAACATCTCTCTTGATTTCACTTTCAAACACAACTAATCAAAACGCCACATTAATTCATCACTAACTCCTCACGTGTGCTTCACTCAACACCAGCCAATCAATAAATAAGTCTTTGGTTCTGTGTAGTACTGTATTCACAACCACAGATGCTTACAGTAAAAATAGTTTCTTTCAATCTTGCGTTCGTGTTTTCCGTGAATTTTTCAGCATCTCTGCAGATTACTTTCAGTCTTGTTCAGAAATGTTGACAGGAGCTCATGAAAGAAGAGCTTTAGGTTTTGAGTAACTGTGTGTATGATATATCCAAAATTATAATATGACGGCAAAGGTGTTTGCAACATAAAACAAATGTTTGCTTTTGAGATGTGTTTGTGATATTTTAAATGCAGTGCTTCGTTTTGCAAGAGATGCGAGACATTTGGCATTTTGTGTGCCATTCTTGAATTTGTGTCCAGTTTTGAAAAAGAGAGGCAAAGTTTTGAAAATGTGTGTGTGAGCAGTTGAAAACGATGGTAATAAGATCCAGCACTGCTGACCTCACGCTGACCGCACACTGACCTCACCTGCAGTTCTCCATCCAGGAAGGAGTCACAGAAGTCCTGCACGCGCTCAGTAGTGATTTCACCCGCCGCCAGGAGCCACTTCTTGTCCGAGACACCATCGTAAAGGCCGATCCGCGGCAGATCACCAGACTTCAGGCCGAAGTATTCCAGCACGCGGGCGTTCGACTTCTCTCTTCCGTTTACCAGCACGAACAACATCTGCATTTCACAAAACACATTCACAAGTCATTTTGTGGAATAGTCTTTTAATGTTTAGTTAAATAGTGCTGTTCATCACCATCCCTGCTGTAAAAAACAATAGAAATGATGATCAGAGAAGTCCTAATGGCTTCCACTAAAAATACCATTACAAACCATCAACGGTTAACCATTCATTTCCAGTAGCAGTGTTGCCAGGTTTGCCTAGATTTTGATTACTTGTAAACGGTTTGCTGTAGGTTAATCTTTCCTGCGGTTTAAAGGTTTGACATATAGCAGAAACTGTAATGCGCACATCGAAATATTTTACATTCTATCAATGATAAAACTGTGTGAGATTTTGAGTATTTTGACTCAAAAGAGACCCACAGGCACCATCACAGTTTCCATTAAAACCAATACAATTCCCATTATACCATCACAAATTCTATGAGGGTTTATATATTTATTTGCTCATTTTATATTTTAGAGTTTTAGTTTATAGCAGTTTTATTAGTTAGATTTCGAGTAAATCAGTATCTGTGCAGTGCCAGATAAACATTCATCTGACTGTAACTCCAGTTACTTCACCTGATAATTGTCTTAAAATGTACTGTATGTGAGCACTCAGTCACTTTAAATAAAAAATATTGCCCAAATCAATCAAAACCTTTAGCAGTCTCATACAGTCTGGAATATTTCTGAAGTTCTGGAAGGATCTGGCATGTGTGGGGATATTAGGGTCAGTGGGGCGCAGCTCTTGTGCAATCAGGACAAAAGCTCTTAATCCCATTAAAGAATGAAACAGTGAGACTTCACCCCATCATCCTCTTAATTAACACTTTCTCGTCAGGTAAAGGAGGTGAAATGGACTCGTGTTTACTACCTTGCCAGCATATTTTGGCGCAAGATTTCTGAAGATCTGCTGCAGGGGCTCCGAGTGAGTGCGCCCTCTATCAGCCATCAGCAGCAGGTGCGTCTTCACCACAGACTGGAACAGACCCACTGCAGTCTGACACACACAGACACTCACGCACACACACAGAGAGAGAGAGAGAGAGAGAGAGAGAGAGAGAGACAGACACAAACACACACACACACACATGCACGCACGCACACACACACACACACTCACACATTATATATAATATAATTTAATTTAATTTAATCAGATTGGAAGCTACTAGTATGTTTGTATGATCAGTACCGCTTGATTATATTCTGTGACGTAATAAATGTTATTGATGGTCATGAAGCGTGCGAGTCCATCGCCATCAATTTTCTTGGCCTCTGAGAGCTTCAGGTGTTCCTGATGAAGATCAGCCTGTAATACACACATATTCTCATATACTCATATTACGATGGTGTTCTGTATTCACCTCATGTATCTCAGACTCATATCTCACGTGTTCCATGAGGTTGCAGGTGTTTTACCTTCCTGAAGATGGAGATGGTGTCGGAGGCGATGCCATATTTGGCCCAAACTTCCTTTTCACTGCACAGAGCAACAGGAAGTGTCTCCATCTGTTTAACAGCAGCCAGAAACTCTTTATATCCGTGAGCAGCTTCAGTCTGACAGAAAGACAGCAGACCTTAATCACAGACATGAACACTGTTCATACATGAGCATCAGTCCACTGGAGGATCGTTCTAAGAACTGTGCCCACGTCTGTTTATGGAGCGCTGAAGGTGCCAATCCCACAATCCCAGAGACGCCCTAAACTTCCTGCTCCATTCCTCCTCCACATCTAGAGTTGGGCCAGAGGACACGGCATTCTGGGACATTTCCTGACACCAGCGGAGACGCTATCTCTCTCACACACACACACACACACACACACACACACATACACCCACACAGGTTTGTTTTTGTGAAAAGTGGGGACTCTCCATAGGCGTAATGGTTTTTATACTGTACAGATCGTATATTCTATTGCCCTACACCAACCCTACCCCTAAACCTACCCCTCACAGGAGACTTTGTGCTATTTCAGATTTTCAATACACTCCATTCTGTGTGATTTATAAGCGTTTTGAAAAGTGGGGACATGGGGTAATGTCCTGAAAAGTCACCTTCTCCTTGTAATACCTGTCATACCTTTGTCATTATACACATTTATGTCCTCATTTGTCACAAAAACGCGTACACACACACACTTGCACTCTCTCACACACACAGACACACACACACACACGCACGCACAAACGCACACACACACACACGCACAAACGCACACACACACACACACACACACACTTACACTCTCTCACAGACACACACACACACACACACACGCACACACACACACACACCTCAAAGAAGCCGATTACAGCTACTTCTACCGAGTCGATGAAGGCTTGGGCCTCAGGAACATCCTTCAGTCTGAGGATGGATCCGTTCTCTGCAGATCAACACAAGTACATCAGCCTGACGGTGATGTATGAATCCAAAACATCTCATGAGGTCACACACTGCAAAAAAATATTTCCTTACTTAGTATTTTTGTCTTGTTTTCTGTGTAAATATAAAAATTCTTGACTCAACACAAATTTAACAAGATATTATGTCTTATTTTCTGAAAAAATTATCAAAATTATGTTAGTTTTTGCTTAAAACAAGCAAAAGATTATTTTTATTACCCCATTGGCAGATATTTTTGCTTGTTGTACAAAATTTAAAACAAGACTCAATATTTCAAGTCATTTTACTTGTCAAGTAAATGCATCTTGATTCAAGAATGTTTATACTCGAAAGCAAGACAAAAATGCGAAGTAAGAAAGTAATTATTTTGCAGAGCAGTAAATGTGACAGACTGTGAACTAAGCAGATCTGATATAGAGTCAGACACAGTTATATGAATCACTCAAACCAATAACCTCTGCAACAGCCATGAGCAAAGACGCTCATTATTTCTTTAGTCATCTAACAAACAAAACAGAGTATTTCTGTTAGACTACAGAGAATAATTCTGGCATTTAATGATGTTTAAAGTCACCTTACCTTTATGGTCTGCGGTCACACACACAGTTAACAAAGAGAACACAATGAGAAACATGCCGACTCTACTAAACATGGACAGACGGTGAGAAGCGACGCAGAAGCCCAGGGGTTGTGTTCTTGTACGCCGAGGGTGTGTGAATCGGACAGGTGTGCTGCAAACGCCGTGAGATTACGTGTCACTCAACGCACACATGCTGGTTTTGTTCCCGAATGAAACTCATTTTGAACATGAACCTCGTTGCAGAATCACACTATTGAGAAACACCATCAATGAGAATCAGGAGAGCAGAAGATCTCGGCTTCGTTTCTCATGTTAAGAAATATTTTTACTCAGATCATGAAGTGCTTCTGTGCTTCAGTGCATTGAAAACATGGACATGTTTAATGTTGTGCATCAACTTATCAAGGAATAATACGTGCAAATATGCTCAAAAAACTGCCATGCTGCTCCAAAACAGATATAAATACATGAAAGAGGCTATGAACTCTAACAGGCAGTGTGTGTTTTGTTCAATCTATCATCTGAACATGTGTAACTTTCTACAGCTGATTCAGGTGATATCACTTCTGTCGTCTATCGTTCATTAACATGATTAAGATGAGGAATCATGCTTCTTATCTTCACATAACTTCTGCCGTCAGCTCAGTAAGGTTGTGTACCGATGCGTTAGCACACAGTTAAACCGGTTCACGTCAGGAATAGATTAAGAGTCTCTTCTCACTGCAGGATCCAAAGACTCAGGATTTAAAATAGAGCTAATGCTCAGCTCAGAGATCAAAGCAACTCTTTTCATAGAGTTATGCAACATTTAACCCAGAGGAAAGGTCAGAGGTTACAACAACATCTTCATCTTTGGTTTCTGAATGAAATCAAACTGGAAAAGCACATCAACATTGTGGGTTTATGATAATGGCAGTGATGTCCATTTCTATATTTGTCACAAAGATCCGAGCTCAGAAGATAAAAGTCCAATGCAGAATTATCATGAGTTTCATTGTAGGAAATTGGACATGAACAGGCTCTCAGGTCATATTTACTATCGGGAAACTAATTTTGATTTCTAACAAGTTGGACATGCCATAAATTTAAAACATGGCAAATAAGAGAACTATCGCTGTTTGTTTTCCATACAACTTGTACATTGCTTTACAGTCATGCATATTTACATATATAAATAGCCATTTGATGCATTTTGTATTTACACAGCAAAAACTGTTTATTTTGACTGAACCTTCAGAATCTGGATGTTGATGAATGGGACGCAACATTTATTAAGAAATGGGCAAGAATGAAGCTGCAGTCCTCTGTGAACAAAGCGTTTGAACACAGCAAACTCATAATTCTGACTTCAGAAGTGGGATGTGAACTCCTGACTGCATGTGAAAGCAGCATAAGACAAACTCTCATTTAGCATATAAATCTGCTCTGCATACAGATCCTACTGAAAAACAGAACGTGTTGCAGAGACAGATATAGATGTGTTTGAATACGTGTTACTGCTAAAACAAGACAGCACCAAATACACACACACACACACACACACTCTCTCTCTCTCACTCACACACACACTCTCTCTCTCTCACTCACACACACACTCTCTCTCTCTCTCACTCACAC